TAGGGAAAGCACAGGAGAGAGCTGAGAAGGAACCATGATTTTTTTTTATTTTTTTTTTAACCAGATTGGATGGGCAGGTGCAGAGTGCCAAGGGGTGGAGATGTTAGATCTTGCAAGATCAGAATCATGGAATAAAGAAGCCTCTCTGTGCTGCCTGTTGTGTCCTGGGTTCTTGCCTGTGGGGATCTGGGGACTGAGGGTTCTGAAGCTGGAGAAAGAGAGTATCCTATCCTTCCTGGATACCATCTTGGATTCTGTGCCCATCCCACTGTCCCATCCCACCAGACATTTAAAGTGGCCCTTGTTCTCCCCTTCCCTGCCCTTGCCTTCCGGATCATTGTGTAGGAACCAGTGACTTCATGAAGTTTCTCCGGAGCCACCTGCATCCTACTGCTCTGAAGTCACTTCCTGCCTGAGGTGTGGAGGCAGCAGGGAGAAACCAGGAAGCCACTAATAATACCAACATGTTGGGGGATGCATCTGTGCAGGGGAACTTAATGCCAGGACACCCTCTACCACCACCACCACCACCACAGAAAATGGATAGGACTTGGGTGCCATAAGGATAATAGGAGCTGGAGGTGGCAGTGAGAAGGCTGTGTGGTTAGAGCCAGTGTGCCAGCTCTACCCCTCCCCCAGCAATGGTGTCTTGGAATCCATCCAGTGCCTAGTACACACTTCTCTCCCACCCTTTCCCCTGTCCTGTGTGTGTCATGGGTGCACAGCCTTGTTCTGCCCAGAGGTTAAGGGGTCACTAATTCTGATAAGTGGACTTAAATTTTGGACTTAAATTCCTTTTGGACTTAAATTCCTCATCCATGAAATAAGTCCATTAGCATGGAAGGAATAAGTTCCTTCCAACATTTACAGTTTGTGGTTGTGCTTCTTAATCTTTTAAAACCCATGACCTGGGTTAGATTTTTTTTTTTTAAGCACAAAACAAAGAAACTAAACTAAAACCTTCCTTCCCCTCCCACTGCAGCTTATCCCCTGTTTAAAATAAGACCAGCTTAAAATAAAATAAGACCAGCTAATATTACTTAACTCCTACTACATGTCAGGCCCTAAACTAAACATTTTAGTGTATAGATTTTCTAATTCAACTCCCCTGACAACCCTAAAAGTAGGTACTATTATAAGCCCCAGTTTACAAGTGGGGAAACCAGCTGAGAGGTTCAATGTCTTGGCCAAGTTAAGAAGTGATGAAGCCAGGATTGGAACTATGATTTGATTCTAAAGACTGCGCTCTTAACCACTCTGTTATACAGCCACACCAATTTCTACATCTTTGGTATAGTCCCCACCAGCCAAAGTTCTAACTCCACTTAAAAAAAAAAAAAAAAAGCTTCTTGGGTATGATTACTTTTATTTCCCACGTATAAAAGTATATGGCTCAATATGCTTTTTTAAATTACACAGCTTCCCTCCCCACCCCAGCTCCACTTGTCTGGGTATGACCCCTTGAGTTCAAATTTCAAGGTCAGTGTCCTAAGGATCTTGAAGCCAAGTCATTAGTGCTCTATAAGGCTGGAGGAACTGGGTACTGGTTGGGTAGGAGGGGCTGATTGCGTCAGTGGTCATGGCTTGTCTCTAGTCTATCCCATCATGAGATCAAAGCTGTGATTAGGAAGTGGTTGTTACTAGAGGGCAGAGGAAAATGTTCCAGCCCCACTTAAGACGAGGGCTGGTGGGGCTCTGAGTGAGCTCAGAGTTGCACTTCCTCTCCCCAGTTATTTTTGGTCTCTGTGACCCGTAGGTTTCCTGTTAGTGGGAACAGAAGGGACAGGAACGAGTTCCCAATACAGAAGTCAACGCCAGGAGTCCAAGAGCCCAGTCCCCTCTCTCTTTCCTTGGCCTTTGAACCCACTCAGGAATCCAGGCATCTAGATTCTAGTGGCCTCAGGCGCTTGGCCAGGTATTTTACCTTATCTCATAATCCCTCCGCACCCCCCACCCCACCCCCGCCCCGCTTTTCAGCTCCCGGGCCCCTCATCAAGCAAGTATGTGTTTTCCTCTCATGAACCAGTTTACCAACTACTAACGCCCACGGACTCCTTACGTGCGCATCTCCGTGCTGAAATCTGGTCGAATTGGCCCGCTAGTTGGACAGGAGACCGAAGCTGCCTCCTGGTTGGTTCCTGGGTCACCTAGGGCCCGTCTATTTAGCCTGCTAAAGTCCCCTCCTCACGCCTGCGCCCCACTCACTGCCCCAGAACAGGTTCTAAAGCCCGCCCTGCCCTTATGGCTCCGCCCCCTTCTGAGGAGTCCCGCGTTCTCATTGGTGAGCTACAGACAGGGATGTTGGCCGGGCTGGCCAGGTGCAGACACTTCCAGTGACAAGATAGATAATCCACCCGGAGACCTCAGGGATGGGGGCCCAAACTCAGTGCTGCCCCCTGGCTTCTAGACCGAAAGTCAGCCCTCTCCTCTGTCTGTCCCGCCCAGGCCCCGACTCTCGACTCACGGCCGGCGGAGCCACGCCCCCCGGCGCTGAGCGCAGGGGCAAGCGCCCGCCTGGTCTCCCTACCTATATCGCCCCCGCTAGGGGAAAGGCGCAGGCGCCTCACGCAGCCTCTCTGCAGCTTTCAGGCCCTCGTTGGTACTTTCCTCTCTACCATCCTCTCCTCCCCGCTCGGCTGCGAGTGGTCCGGCTGGGTGGGTGGGCAGAGGTGGAACGTCCTGAGCCCTGCTCCGGAAGGGGCTTAAGGCGGCAGCCGTTACCTCCCAGATGGCACTTAGGGCCGAGCCCCCCGACGGGGGCTGGGGGTGGATGGTGGTGCTCTCAGCGTTCTTCCAGTCGGCGCTGGTGTTCGGAGTGCTCCGCTCCTCCGGCGTCTTCTTTGTGGAGTTTGTGGCTGCGTTTGAGGAGCCGGCAGCGCGAGTCTCCTGGATCGCCTCCATAGGAATCGCGGTGCAGCAGTTCGGGAGTGAGTGCTGCGCCTGGGTCCAGAGTCCTGTGACCCTCGACCCTCGGAAGGGAGAGGAGATACGGGGACGGTCAAGGAGGTGGTGGGGGTGGGGTCAGTGCTGGAGAAAGACGCCTGAGATCTTCTCTCAGAACCCTTCCTCTTCTCCAGGCCCAGTGGGCAGTGCACTGAGCACCAAGTTCGGGCCCAGGCCTGTGGTGATGGCTGGGGGCATCTTGGCTGCGTTGGGGATGCTGCTCGCCGCCTTTGCTACCTCCTTGACCCACCTGTACCTGAGTATTGGGCTGCTTTCAGGTGAGACCCTGGGCAAGGGCGGGCAAGTCAAAAGCCTGAGTCTTTTTGGCCTCTGGACTTTTACCTTCTTCCTGCTCCTTCCAAAAGGCTTAGGGAGACGCTGAGAGAAAGTTTTGGCTGGCACCTGTGCCCAGAAGGCAATTTTTTTTTTAATTACATCGGTTTATTTATTTATTTATGGCTACGTTGGGTCTTCGTTGCTGCGCGTGGGCTTTCTCTAGTTGCATCGAGTGGGGGCTACTCTTCGTTGCGGTGCAACGGGCTTCTCTTGGCGGTGACTTGTTGCGGAGCACAGGCTCTAGGCGCGCGGGCTTCAGTATTTGTGGCATGTGGGATCTATAGTTGTGGCTCAGGGGCTGTAGAGCGCAGGCTCAGTAGTTGGGGTGCACGGGCTCAGTTGCTCCGTGGCCCTTGCTCCTTCCCAGACCAGAGCTCGAACCCGTGTCCCCTGCATGGGCAGGCGGATTCTTAACCACTGCGCCACCAGCGAAGTCCCCCAGAAGGGAATTCTTAAGAGAGGTGACTATAAATGATAAACAGGTTAGGGGAAATCAGGAAATTCAAAGACACAAGCCCAGGGCTAGTGGGACTGGAGTGTAAAAGGAAGAATTACTGTAAAATTGTGTCAGATGTGAAAGCTGTGAAATAGATATCATTATCCTATTTACAGATGAGGAAAGGCTTTAAGCTTATGCAACTTGCCAAGTGAAGTTCACACAGCCAGAAATGGTAGAGCCCAGGTCTAACTCCAGAGTTCTATGGTAGTTACTTTGCAAACATTCCAGAGTCCCCTAAAGTATATTACCCCCATTTTGCAGATGAGATTGAGGCTAGGAGATTAATAGACAAGGTCATACAGCTAGAAGGTATCAAGCTAGGATTGTAATTTACACCTGTGCTACATTCTGCTGCTGGGCAGTGTTGGGATGATTGTGTGCCCTGAGCTCCTTATGGGTCCCTCAACCTCCATTTCTTCCTTTTTGACAGGATCTGGCTGGGCCTTGACCTTCACTCCCACCCTGGCCTGCCTGTCCCGTTACTTCTCTCGTCGGCGATCCCTGGCCACCGGGCTAGCACTGACGGGCGTGGGCCTCTCCTCCTTTGCTTTTGCTCCACTCTTCCAATGGCTGCTCAGCCAGTACGCCTGGCGGGGGGCCCTGCTGCTGGTGTCTGCCCTCTCCCTCCACTTGGTGGCCTGTGGTGCTCTTCTCCGCCCACTCTCCCTGGCTGAGGACCCTGTCGTGGGTGGCCCTGGGGCCCAGCTTGCCAACCTTCTCCATCATGGCCCCTTCCTCCGTTACACCGTTGCCCTCACCCTGATCAACACTGGCTACTTCATTCCCTACGTGCACCTGGTGGCCCATCTTCAGGACCTAGATTGGGACCCACTGCCTGCTGCCTTCCTACTCTCAGTGGCAGCTATTTCTGACCCTGTGGGGCGTGTGGCTTCTGGGTGGCTAGGGGATGCAGTCCCAGGGCCTGTGGCAAGACTCCTGATGCTCTGGACCACCCTGACTGGGGTGATACTGGCCTTGTACCCTGTGGCTCGGGTTCCCACAGCCCTGGTGGCTCTGACTGTGGCCTATGGCTTCACATCAGGGGCCCTGACCCCAGTGGCCTTCTCCGTGCTGCCTGAACTGGTGGGAACTGGAAAGATATACTGTGGCCTGGGACTGGTGCAGATGGTAGAAAGCATCGGGGGGCTGCTGGGGGCTCCTCTATCAGGTAAGGGGACTGGGATTTCCAGGTGGGTGCGGGCTGCCATGTCATACCATTCAGGGAGGGAATTGACATTATAGTGTATATGAATACTGCTCTCTGGTATGGTACATACACAGCCTGCATGGTCAATCACAGCAGCCCTGAAATGGGTCCAAAGTGGCAGGGTACCTACAGTTGGGGTTTTCAGAGGACCTGGTCAAACCCAGCCAGACATAACATGCCAGCGTCTGCCTTTTCCCTTGGCCCACTGGGCCCCAGGCCAGGGTTCTGAGCCATCTGGTCAAAGTTCTTCAGGCTCCTGATGCCAGAACCTTCAGACCCTTAACATTTTCCTCTTAACTATTAACTGAAGGCATGGAAGGGAAGGCCACAGCTACTGGAAAGAAAGGCACAAGTGTGCCTGACTCATCTGGATCCCCAAATCCCCACTGGCTGGTTCAGAGATCCTTTCTGAAAGCAGGAAGGTAGTTGAAATGGCCTTTTGAGGCCCCTGGGGAAGCCTGAGTTCTCAAGCTCATCCAGTCCTACCTTGAGAGTTCTAACTCTTCCAAGATGATGGGTTAAGGATTACTTTCTTCCCTCCACCCCAAAATGTGTCTGAGTCCCAGGAAACAGATCACCCATGTGTATTCTTTTTCTCTCTTGAATCTAGGCTACCTCCGGGATGTGACAGGCACCTACACAGCTTCTTTTGTGGTGGCTGGGGCCTTCCTTCTTGCAGGGAGTGGAGTTCTCATCACTCTGCCCCACTCCTTCTGCTTGTCAGCTCCTACCTCCAAGCTCCAGGACCCTGTAACAGAGGCACTGGATACCAAAGTCCCCCTGCCCAGGGAGGGGCTGGGAGAGGACTGAACTCCAGGAAGGGGCAGTCAGACCCAGAAACCCAGGGGTTGTTGGCTCCAGGTCTTCTCCTGCCCCATCTTGGCACCCACAGAACCACAGTGCCTTAAGCATCGTTATCTGCCTCCTCCCCCCCGCCAGAGCAGGCCTGGGGCTCCTGCGATGTGTGTGCCAACCCTTTGTATTTTGTCTTATCTCTTCTTTGCTCGCACAACCTTTACTGAAGGATCCAGTTCAGCCTGCTCCACTGAGCTGTGAATCGACTGTGGAAACTCAAAGGCCAAGAGACTTATCATGTTTTACATGTGATCTCTAGTGTTGCTTCCCACATTTCTTCCCTGAAGACAGATCTTTGGGAAAGAGGGATGCCCCTTTGAGATAAAACTGAATAAGAAAACCGGACAATAATCAGAACCTCAAAAAGAATTGGGGCCCATATGCCTGGGTTGGCTGAATGGGGTCACGCTGGGGACTGGAGGGGAGGTATCCAGGAGCTCTGGTGACCCAGAGCATTTAACCCTGGACTCTGCTCTCTGGACCACAGTTCCTCCTACTTGCCCACTGACCTCCCTCTTTCCCACTATCCCCTGTAACTTAGGAAAGAAATTAAGAAAATGGTGAGGGACATGGCGGGGGGGTGCTAGCTGGGGAGGGGGAGATAAAGCTAAGAGAGCTGAAGTCTGGGTCTGGGATTCTTACGTTTTCATCAGGCCAATAGAAGGAGACTGAAATGCAGGAGAGAGTTATCTGGGAAATGAGGATGGGGCAGCTAGCACCCATGAGCGCCCCCCTCCTCCAACAAACTGAAGCTGATAGGCAGACAGTTTCTCAAAGATTTCCTGTTATAATGGCAAGAACTTGAGCAAAGAGAAATGGACTGACTGGACAAACACCCTTCCTGCCTCGCATGGCTTAGGGGGATCCTGTTCCTATCAACCAGCCTTTTTGGATATTTTAAGTAGAATGTTTGCAGCATCCTAGATTGCCTAACAATTGGAGCTTGCGGGAAAAGCAGATAGAAAGTCTTTATTGGGGGCAAGGCTCAAACAAGAAAATGGTCAACAAGTGGTGTCCAGAGTGGAATGAGGGCCTCCTGAGGGGAGCAGGGCAACCTGAGGGTTGGGGAGCAGTTCCCCCCTCTCAGAGGGTGGGGTGCCTGGACGTGAGGCTGGACGGCAGGAGGGCAGCGCACTGGGCAGCCCCATGTAGATGAAGCTGCCAGAGAGGATGAAAGAGCTGCACACGAGGAAGGAGGCGGTGAAGTCTCCTGTCTCATCCCTTAGGAAGCCTGAGAGGAGGGGGAAAGGAACTCAGAGGCCTCCGTGCCCAGGTGCAGAGGGGTGCGAGCGGATCTGCTGGCTCAGGCCCTTACCTGACAGGGGAGGGCCGAGAAGCCCCCCCAGGCTCATCAGCATCATCACCAGCCCGGTGGCCTGCACCACACCGCCGATGCCCACCAGCCCCGGGAGCACGCCGAAAACCAACGGGGCGTAACTTCCGGCGCTCAGCCCGTAGGCCCCAGCCGCGGCCAGCAGGGGGCCCCCCCAGCTCTCCTCGTTCCCCACCACCGGCACCAGACCCACCGCCAGCAGCCCTAGCCCGGTCAGGGCCCCGAACATCGCCAGCAACCGCGGGAGGGGCACCCAACCCTGGTCCGCCAGCCACCCGCAGAGCAGCCGGGCGCCCGCGTCCCCCACGGCAGCCACCGCCACCACCAGCACCGCCCCATACCCCCCCAGGCCCCGATCTAAAGCGTGAGGGGCCAGGTGCACGTAGGGGACGAAGTACCCGCCCCCCACCAAGGCCGTGCCTAGAGCAAAAACTAAGAAGGCCCGCCGTGTGAAGAGACCTAGGCCGAGGGCAGCTAGCGGGCTTCGGGGTGGGCCCAGGGGGTCTCCAGGGAGCGCCAGGGGTCGCAGCAGGGCGCCACAGGGGGTGAGGTGGAGGGTAATGGCGCCAAGGAGGAGCAGGGCGCCCCGCCAGCCGAAATTATCGAGGAGGAGCTGCAAGGCGGGCGCCAGAAGCAGCGAGGAGGCCCCGTTGCCCGTGAGTGCCAGCCCCACGGCCAAGACTCGACGGCGGGAGAAGTAACGGGAGAGGGTCCCGAGGGCAGGGGCGAATACCAGGGCCCAGCCGGAGCCTGTGAATGGATAGGACCGGGTGAGGACAGGAGCCGGGGATGCCTGCCCCCACCATCCCAGCTCGGCTGCTCGCAGGAGGCCCTCGCGCCCTCGGCCTCCAGCTCCCGACACGCTCCTATCTCCACCATCACCCCTGAAGAACCTGGGAATCCCTCTCTCCTCACCAGCAAGGACGCCCAGGCCAAGGTAGAGGTGCAGCAGACTGCGGGCGAAAGCCGAGAAGACGAAGCCGAGCGAGGTGAGGACGCCCCCAACCATCACCACGGGGCGCGCCCCCCAGCGGGTGCTTAGGGCGCTGCCCACTGGGCCTGGAAGGAGGCGGAGTCAACGGAAGACACGCTCCTGGACTCCCAAACTCGCTCCAACACTTCTCATTGGCTGTTTGCCTGGCCTAAACTTCTCCCCCTGCCTAATAGCCCCTCCGCCTTGACGTCAAGACCCACTATATTCTAGAACTTAGGTACACTGGTCGACCTTTCTTAGGTTGTCTGGTAGTCAACCAGGTGTGTCCCCCACCACTGCACTCATGGCCCCTCCACCCCGGTTCCCGCCTCCCACCTCGGGGGGGCCCCCTCACTGGCTGCCTGCTGCACGGCCAGGGCCAGGGCGCTGACCCACGCAGTGTCCTGAGCGCTTCGGTCAAAATGCTCCGCGAGGTCAGGGAGGGCGAGGCCCAGGGAGCGTAACAGTCCGTAGGAGAGCCCGTTCACCGCGAAGGCTGCGGCCGCCACCACCCAGCCCCAGCCCCCGTCCGGGGGTCCGGCTGGCTTGGGGGTCATCACCGACTGGAGAAGTGGGAACACCTGTGAGAGAAGTCTCCAGGTCTGTGCCTCCTTTAGGGACCCGAGCATCCCTTAGATCCAGCTTCTGGCTCTTTGCCCAGGGTGGGCACGTCACCCTGAGCACGACAGGACGGAGGCGGAGGAGCCTAGGGACAGAACTCCTGGGTTCGCGCGATCCCGGGACGAGATGACAGCCGGATCCCCCAGGCCTGAGACTCCCCCTCCCACACACCCGTCTCCCTTACCCGACCTCTCCGGGCGGTGCGGGGAGAGGAAGGGCTCGGCCCGCTTTTCTCCCTGCTTCCGGGGCGGGCGGGGCCCCAGAGGGAGCAAATCTAGAGATGGAGCCCAACTTGGACGGGCTCTCAAGGTAAACAGAGAGCTCCACAGGGGGGGCTGAGCCACCTGGGACGAGGGGGGTACGGAGGGCGGGGGCGAGCTGAGACAGCCAATCCGCCGGGCCGGGGGTGAGGCCAGACGCCGAGTCCCACGGGGATTGAATTATCCACTTACACCCCCAACCCCGGGGAAGGGAGGAGCGAGGAATGAATGCCGCCACGCCCACGCCCACGCACCTGCCGCCGGCTGTGCACCCGGGAGACGCGTAGATTGCAATCTCCAGCCTGCCCAACGTCGGTAGGCAACGCACGGAAATAGGGGTGGTCCTCCCAAAGCCTGAGTGGATGAGTACTTTCGTTCTCAGGGAACGTTGCTGGAGAACCTGGTAAAAGCTCGGATGTTAAATCACCTCCACGGAGTGTATGTTGCGTGCCTAACAATAATATGCCCTCAAGGACGGAGGAGAAGGAAGAGGACTTCCTTATGATGGGCCAGGGACATGTACACATGTCATTTTTCATCTTCACAATCACCCTGTGAGAAAGGTGTTCTCCCCATTTTACCGCTAAGGTAACTGAAACTTAGGGAGGTTAGGTGACTTGCCCAAATCGTTCAGCTTTAAAAAAAAAAAAAAATGGTGGAAATATTTGAATTTGGGTCTGTCCAACTGCGGAACCATACAAGAAGAACAGACCTAGGACTGAAATAGAATCTGCCACCATGGAGGGAAATGGCCTGGAGACAGTTTGATGCCAAACTGACCTGGAAATGGTAGAGCCTTTGCAGAGCCAGAGAGTTTATGATTCTGAGATAGGGGTTACTGGGAATACAAAGGATTCTTGAGGTCAGAATAGCTGAAGATTTAGATTAGAATTTTAAAAACAAAGAAATCCGATAATTGAACCCAGGTATTGATTTCTTGAAAAAACTTTCCTTTTTACATTAGGATTAAGTTTACCATTAATTTACTTCAGCTGTTTGATCAAGGGATGTGTTCTTTGGTTTAATTTTCCAACAGTATCAGAGAAATTGGCAGTTTACAGTTTGGCGTATACAACATCCGAAAGCCACATGGTGGCAGTGTTTCCTAACGGTTGAGAACATTTCTACAGATAAAGAAAAACAGCTTCTTAATCAGTGAAGCTGTAAACCTAACAACTGATCTTCGAGGACTCTCCACTGCCTATAGGAGGAAAAAAACAACAACAAAATTCTCTACTTTGGGCATAAGGCCTTTCACAATCAAAGGTAGACTATCTTTCCATCCCATCTCCCTCCCCTCTCTCCTACACCCTTCCATCAGCTGCCTGTATGGACATTCCTAGCTTTTTCTCACTCCTAAAGTTTTGAATATGTCATGCCCTTTGCTTGAAATGGCTTGGATGGGGTACAGGAGCCCTGACACACACACCCTAGGAAGGTGGTCTCACCGGCTTACCTAGCTGGGTGTGCTGTTGTGAAAGGCACCTGGGAGACAGAGGCAGCATCTCCTCAGCCAAGGGGAAGGCAGGGAGCCCACTTCCCGACATGGCCGGTGAGGACCCTGCTCCAAGCTGAATGAGGCCAAGTGAAACAAATCACTCCCTCTCCACGGTGAAGTAGAAATGCAGGGCAGTCAAAGAGGAGACGGTCCTCAGGGCCTGGGAGTGACACTGAGCACCTTTCCAGGATACTTATGAACCAACAGGGCATCCCAGAGCCTGGGGCTAGGGTGACTGGTTGCGAAAGGGCACATTCACCTTCTGCCTCATGTTCCCTGTATTCTTAGTCAAACTTACTATACACATCTTTTGCTTATGGAGCTGTGAATGAAAAATATTGCCTGCCATAGAGTAAACAAAGGATATTGCAGCCATCAAGCCATCACATTACAGCCACCCCAACAGTGAGCCCTGAGGGAACTCACGATGGAAACAGGATGCCCCCTATCAAACCATCAGACACTGCAGCCCTCCACCCACAACAGTGCACCCTGAGGAGACTCAGGATGAGAAAGCCCAGGATACTGGCCCCAGATGGCTGAGGTGCGTATCAAAGGAATGATTTCAGTGAGCCCAGACTCTTGCATCTTCCCATACATGGCAAAGTGCTAAATTCCTTAAGATATCTGGTTTTCTTTAATTAACATTAATCTTTTGATGTTCCGACTACCTGGTCTTTGTTGCAAAAACTCCTGGATATCCTGGCTCCGCCCCTTGCCTCTTCGGAGCAATCTCTGAGTTTTCTGCCATACTGTCTCCCGGGCTTAAGTCCTCAGTTTCGTCTGCTGAATAAAACATAACTCTCAACTTTTAGGTTGTGCATTTTTCTCAGTCAACAAGCAAATATAGCAGTGAGGTTGGGAGAATGAATTCCCAAGCTAGACTTCCTGGGTTTGAAGCCCATCTTTGCCACTTATTAGCTGTATTACTGTAAGCAAGTTATTCAACCTCTCTGTGCCTCGATTTCTTTATCTCTAAAATGGGGATAATAATAGTAGCTACCTGATAGGATTGCTATGGGAATAAAATGAGACACTGTGTATACATGTATGAATAAGGGACTTAGAACAGTGCCTGGAACATGATATATGTCAGCCCCTCTTGCACCCCTGCCCCTTCCCCACTGGCTACACCTACTGATGCCTCAAGGTTAAAGAACCACATTGGTCTGGTGATTTCTCAGTAGAACTACACAGCTTTATAAGACGTGAATGGCTACAAAGATAGGTTAAATGGATTTTTTCTTAGTGGTGAGTGGTTTTCTTAGCATTTTCCAAAGTTTAGGAGAAAATGCTGGTCTCCTTATCTCAACTCTAAAAACAAATGAGAAGAAAAGGAGTCAAAATAAGTTTTGTTCATTTGCTTCCTCATACAAAATATTTATAGACACCTACCATGCCAGATGCTCTGCTTAGGGCTAGGGATACAACTATGAATGCTACAGTCTCTCCCCTCCAAGCCCCCACAATCAAATTAGAGAAAAAGTGAAATAAAGACATCTCAACACAACGAAAGGGACGCAGACACCATAGAGTGGTGCATGGGAGGAATTGACTCATTCTGCTTGGGCCTGCTGGGAAGGCTTCACAGAAGAGGAGCTCTTTGAGCTGGGTCTTGAAGGATGAGTAGGAGTTTGCCAGATGGCTGTGTGGGCAGGGGCATTCCAGGAAAAGGGAACTGCCTGTGGAAAATCACAAAGGCATGAACCAGCTTGGCACATTGCTTATTGTTTGGGGAGCTGTAAATAGCTGCTGTATGGAGAACAGGGAGTGTGTAGGAGAATAATGTAGGACGAAGATGCTGGGGCAGAGGGTCCCATCATGAAAGGCCAGGCCAAGGAATTTAGATGTTTTCCCGGGGACTGATTCTTCACAAAATTCCCCCTGATGCAGCAGTCACTAATATTCACTAATACTGGAAGCTGATCACAGAGGGGAGAGGACTCATACCAGAATCAGAAGGGTCAGGAGAGTCTGGGGTGTAGACTTTTTGTGTAGGGGACATTTCTTTGAACTATCTTGTTTTACATTGAAAATTTTGCATCCTGCTTCATAATCATTGATGCATATCTTCATAGGAAAGTTATGCTTTAAATGACTAGATAAATTATTTAAGTTTTTCTTCCCAAGTCCTCCGCTGGGCAGAAGCCACCTCTGGGAAGTCATCCCAACCACTGATCTGCATTAGGTGCCTCCCCCTCTGCCTACTCACCCCATCTGACCACTTTTCAGCCTGCAGTGACATCATCCTTTTTGCCCTCCACCCCTACATTGCCCCTACACCCTGAGGCCCAGGAGGTGGGACCCTGCATTATTGGTCTCTGGATCTTTGACACCCAAAGGTGCCAAAGGTGAATACAACTCACTGCATGAGAGAAACACTGAACACAGGACCCACTGAATGTGTGGACTCAGGGCCTCGTGCTCCATCAGATGTGGCGAGATCACAAGTGGTTGCTGATGGACCAAATTGGCAATGTCCGCCCATGTAGAGAAAGCTCCAGAAGCAGACGCTGATCCAGGTCGGGTCTAGGGAAATCAGACAAGAGGGGCAAGGTCTGTCCATAATTTGCTTTGGGGACCACGAGATCAGGGAGTGTGAACTCTAAAACTGCTCCGGGGCTTTCTCCTGGGAGCCGCTGTGAGAGGTTCTTAGGTCCTCTGGGGCCTGCAACCTCTGGGTATCCCTGAGCTGAGCCCAGCCATTGCCTAAGGACACCCACTGGCGGCTCCCTCTGCAGAAGATGGATGGAAGGGAAGGGGCAGACAAGGATGGAGGGCATCACCCGTAGGAAACATGGCTCTATTTAAGGTACACAAAAATATGAGGCTTTCCCGTGTTTGGCCCAGCTGATCTTGGGCTTCTAAGTGCCTAATACAGCTGCCTCTCACCCCTCACCTCCCAGAATCTTCTCCTATCCCAGCTCACCCGAGACCAAGCCATGGGAAGTCAGCATAGACCTCAAAGTGGAAGAAGACCATGACCCAGGAAGGGGCCAAGGACACAAAGGTCAGGGCTTGTGGTTCAGGCCAGGGGAGCACATCTGCTGAGACACTCTGTAATGGGGGTGGGTCATCAAACAGGAAGATGAAGGCGCCCACTCAGGACAGTGGGGCTTATGATGTGCAGGGAACAAATTTGCTTGGATGACCACACCTGAATGGGGAACTGAACCAGGTCCCCTGAACCTTGTGCTGAGTCTGAGGCCAGGGGAGGCTGGTGGTGGACTTGAAGTTGGCACAGATGAGACAGAGCTGAGGCTGGAGCTAGGTTGGGGCCAAGACCTAGGATGGGACGGGAGTCCCAACCCCACATTACTCCTCTCTTAGCCCCTCTACCAAGTTTGTCTCTGGTGCTTCGTCAATCCAGTCCCCAATCCCTTCCCTCTGTCACCCTCCCGCCCCCCACCTCCCCAGCCCCACTACCTGCTGAAGATCTGGAGCCTCTGGCTTTTGGATCTCTCTGGACAGCCCAGCCTCCAGGACAGGAGATCAGGATGGTGGAGGAGCACCTAGCTAAAGTCTTTGCGCCTGGTCTGTGTGTTTAAAGATCCAAATATGTCTTATTCCAGCATTTTCTGCTTCTGGGACTTTGCCCAACATGTGTGTCAAAGCCCTTAGTTGTAAGCCACGGGCACCAACTCTGACTTACCTAAGGAGAGAAACGATTGATTGCAGGATAGTGGGTAACACTCAGAATTACCAAGAAGACTACAGAACTAGGTTTGGCAGGAACACAGATCGGCCTCAAGTCTAAATGAGGGGCCAAGGCCACTGCTGTCACCATCGGACGCTAGATGTCGCTGCCGGTCTTTTGCAGCCACTGGACCTAGAAACTGCTGCTGCTGCTCAGAAACATTCTGTTTGTTTGTTTGGTTTTTTTGAGAATTATCTTTTATTTGGTGGATAAACTGAGGACTTAAGTCCAGGAGACAGCCCCTCAGATAGCTCTGAGGGACTGTTCCAAAGAGGTAGGGGAGGAACCAGGATACACAGGAGTTTTTGCAACAAAAACCAGGTGGTCAGAACTTCAAAAATTAC